AGAATCTTGTAGTTAACAATAGTGATAGAAATAAATTAGTTGCAGAAGTTTATAAAAGCCTGAGAGAGCAAAGAAATTGATGCTGGGACTCACATTAAATGGCCTAGGATCCACGTACTCCCTCCCTCTTTGATAGCATCAGACATTTCACTTGCTAACTCATTTTTTTTACATATCTGAAAAATTAATAAAATTCGCCCATACCGGATTGTTTTTCAACAATACACAAATCAGCCGAACGGTAAGCGATAGAGCGCGTGATACACACTCTTGTCAACTGATCATGAACCAACAACTCTAAGGCTGATGGGGTAACAGCAGTTCTTCAGAATGATCAGTCAGTGCATCACCTTCTATGCGACAAGTCACGACAGGTGCCCTTCGTGAGAATAACCGCAGTTTTTGACCAGCCCTGACCTGACCTGACGTATAGGGTAAAGCAATCTTGCTTCTTGAAACAAAATACTATTAGTAAACGGTCTGAAAAATCATTATTCTGTTAAAAGAACATTTAAATACCTACAAGACATCACAAGAAAACTTGCCCTGGATGTTGAAGGCGCTCACAGTATAACTCTTGACAACTAAGCGTGAGCCACAACTTCAAGAGCTGAGGGTTAACCAGCAGTTCCTCTGAACGCTCAGTAGTTATACTGTCTTCCGTGAGAGAATCTACTGCAAACAGGCCTTCTGACGAAGAATAACCGCAGTTTTTGCCCATCTGTGCCAGACCACATCTCACAGGATACGACGTGTTGAGTATAAGAAAAATTTTTGTTAAACAGGAAGTCAGGAACCGTTATATCCCGTCACGTGCAAGTACATATAACCAATCAGATGCGATGATCGCTAAATAAAACGCGAATCTAAACGTGAACCTTTTACTCATATATCTCAATGGATTCAAAGAAGGATTCGATTTCCAAAAAAGAATACGACTTCTTTATTAATGAAGAAAGGCCGACACCAACGGCATTTTTCAAAAAGTTTAATTGCACGTCGAGGAAAACAGCTGTGTCAATTTGGCATTCTGCTCTCAAGAAGGTCCTCACAATTCGTGAAGATAATCTCAAGCTTGTTAAGATCGAGCAAAACTATAAAGATGGTAAATATAAGCAAGCTATTGAAGATTATTTTAAAACAAGCGTTCTTGAAAAGGAAAAGGTTTGTCAAATGTGTTTGTGGTGTATCGTGTCCAAGGTTTGTGTTTCCTAAATTCTTTCACAATTTACCAGACGTATGTTGATAAGACATTAACAAAAAAAACAAGTAAAGCAATCCAAAGGCGCATAAGTGATATCCTTCCGGAGGAAACCAGTGATCAAGTTCGCTCGAAAAAACCTCGTCTCGTAGAGGAGTCGCAACAGAATGACAATTCAATATTAATGTCAGCAGATTCGAAAATACATCAAGGGAGTCATAGTAAAATTTTACCGCTCTCTTCAAACGGTTCTCCAGCTTCGTTTTCGTCATCAGCTGATCCCTCTTATCGTGAAGAAGAACAATATTTCAATGCTAAGAAAGGTATTGTCATTTTTCGAATGCAATAAGATCAAGCACATTAATGTACTGATCATAATCTGTTTAGAACGGTACCGAATTGGGTACTCATGGAAGAATATTGTTGATAGTATAGATTTCAGGAATACCTCTATAAATGACGTGAGTACCTCATTGCATTCACAAGACATAATTATGCTATACTTACGTAATTGTACTTTTCAGTGGGTCTTTGAAGGATATAATCTCTCCCTAGAGTTCAGAAGTTTTCAGGAATCGACAATTACACAAGTCAAAAAAAATCCATTTCTATGTTATCAAAATGATGTACAGAAAATCCTGTAAGTTATACTTTGCGGTAATATGTACTACGATCATCTGATGCAGTTTCCAGGTTATGCTTTTGGATGATATTAAAAGCTATCTTTCTTTGGAAAGTGTTTGTCGTATAAATTCGTAGATATGGCTTTTTTTCTGTATGATAACCACGAATTGGGAATGCTTTTATATGCTCTATTCTGATTTTACCCACATTTACAGTTTTCTCCTTGTCGTCCTTTTCATTGGCAAGAATATTTTTTATTTCGCCTTCAAACAAATATATATCCTTATTGTCAGGAACACGGATGTCAAAGAAAACCTTAATGCCAGTAATAGTTACCACTGCTTTCTGGCCATTGATAAGTGGGCCATATAAACGCAAGATATAATAGGGGGTTCCATTGATATATTCGTTAGATTCTTCTATATCAGTAGGCAGGAAGCAATAGTTGCCACGGGAAGGAAATGAAAAAAGATACTAGCGGAACAATAGTAAACTGAATATAGAATAATTAATAAGCGTTGCAAAAATAGCTTAATAAATATGAAGGCAGCCTAGATCTGTTAGATTCAGTGTGCATGTTCATGGTGTTCGATTCCTTTATTGTAAATATTTCTAATAAATGAGTGGTTCTTTATACTCTGAAATACATTGTTAATGATTCATTATCATTCCCTGGTGAAGTAGTATAACTACAACCCAAAGCACCCTCGATATTGATAAAGCTTTTTGGGAGGTTAGCAAATTTTGCATATACCATCTAACCGCCCCAATCATCAGCATATGTGACGCGGTTATAATTGTTTCTTTTAATATTAATTCGTTTAAAAAATGTTCGTAAGTCCATTTTTCTTCATCGTAAGTTTAAAGCAGATAAGGAGATCAGTCTCTTGCCGATCAAAGAATTCATGCTTTACCTTCTTTTTTTTTGTTTTCGATTCGGTGCAACAATTAGACTGCAGTCTGGGGCGCAGTCTGAGACCAATTTACTACAGTCTGAGACTGGATCGACAAGACCATGACATGAGACTGTGGTCTGGGACATTTTTTACTGCAACAACCAACACATGTATTCACACGCCATGTGACCATGTTCCCACGAAATTGAATATTCGATATTCAATGCGATTCTTATTCACACACAAGTATTGGCAGCCAAAAACCGCTTCGTATTCATCGTTCTCCTCGTATATTGTATATCGTGTATTCTCAACACAAAGGATGCCTGTTGTTAAGCTGACAACCGATGAGAGAAAGACGCTTGTTGAGCCATTGAAAAATAACGAATGGGAATTGGTTGATGGGAGAGACGCCATCAAAAAGAAATTCGAGTTCAAGGATTTCAATGAGGCTTTTGGATTTATGACTCGAATTGCATTGCAAGCTGATAAGGTGGGCAAAGCAGAAAGAACTGTTTATGTTTGGTACGATAATTAATTGCGTATTTTTTAATAACTCAGGTTGACCATCATCCAGAGTGGTTTAATGTAAGTGTTGGGGCAAAGGGATCACGGACAAATAGTAGTTTACGTCTTAATAGCCTTTTGAATTTACAGGTATACAATAACGTTGAAATTACTCTTGCAACGCATGAATGTCAAGGACTGTCTATGAGAGACGTGGATTTGGCCAACTTCATTGACAACATATACAAGAGACATTAATCTATATATTGAATGACAGATTAGGAGAAGAGTTCTAACATTGTAAATCGTAATGTGACATATTGAAAGGTCAAGAATAAACCTCTGTCTCAGTAATTCTTATACCGAAATCACATTTGCCATGGCTGATTTTAGCAACAAAGTCTTGGGATTTAACAGCAAGATTTTCTCAATAATTAACGACAAATTACTCTAACTGCTCTCGTGTATTATCGGGAATTTACAATTTGATCTCGAAATGGCCATTTATTGATTTGGAGGATCTCATTAACATTCAGCTCATTAAACTTGTAGAATCATTCTCTATGAGTTAGCACCCATATCCCTAATATTGCAATTAATAAATATTTTGCTTGTGGATAGTCATTCATTATTATTGTAACCATTCCAACATATGGCAAGAATCTGGATAACGGAACAGATAAACCAATAACTCGTTATTATGAATAAAGAAATTCAAGAAATTAAAAAGCAACACCTTTCGATCATTAGTGAGGCTCTTCAATTCATACGTACCCTCTAACTTTCCCGACTACGTCCTTCCTGTGTATCCACAATTGCCCAGGATTGTATAATCCGCGATCGTCTACCTGATTATTATCTCCTTTAGTAAGAATGTATTGCACTCCCGTCTCACGCCTACATGTCAAAGAACAAGTTCGATTAAAACTTCGACCGTGTAGGTCCTGCAATCCCGCTCGCGTTCTTGCAAGCATATCATACTTCATCTCCCCCACTTGTTCCCATACTCAACTCATCATGTAACTTTATAACCCTATGTACAATCGGGACGTCTCTTCCAGGAATTTTAAATACACAAATATCTCCCACTCGAAGTGGTTCATCTGGCATGCCAAGAAATAGGAGATCACCTCTATAGAAAGCAGGTTCCATACTTCCACTAAGGGAGAAAAGATATACGTGTCAAATTCTACGGCTTAAAACTTTAAATTTCCGTAAATTGGTTACCTTAATACTACAACTATGGGACTCTCGCTGTTGGTATAGAGAGCTAACCCTTTCCATACCATTAAAGCCGATGCAATTATCATGAGGAAGTTCAGAAGTTGCATAAGAATCTGTGTAGAGAAAGAAAAATATATATACATGTCCAGTAAGCAGCTCAAACAATGAAGTTTCCTTCGCCGAAGATCTTGATACTACAAACAGATAATTATACTTACCTGACGCTTCGACATTCGACGTAGTGTGGCTATCTCATCTTCAAACATTGTAAAGGACGCTGATAGTTTTCAAAAAAGCGAGAATACACCAAATACAATCTGTTGAATATTAATATTCACGTGATTATAGTTTTAAAATTTAGTAACACGTCACGTCTATTTTTATCGTTTCAAGCACAGCGCAAATGTATAATCAGCGCATACCTTAACAGGGTGAAGCAAAAAGTTATCGATGAGCCATTCGATTGAAAACCAGCGATGAAGTTGATAGAGAAAAGCGTTATTGAAAAGACCAATGTGTCTGAGTTTTGGGAAACCTGGTTGGACAGGGTGGTGCTTGCCAGGTATTTTATGCAACCATTATCTTGGCGTTTCCTTCATTCTTGCGTCTTTTCTTTTTTTTTATTTATTTTTGTTGATTGTAGGGGGCTTTTAGTGGCAGGGGCTTTAACATTTTAGGTCCTGATGCCAAATGACGCTTTAGAAAGCGCGTTAGTATGGGAAGATGAGTTCAGATCAGGTTTACTCTTTTGAAGTCAGATTGTTGAGCAAACGTGTGGAGGAATAGTGGGGAAGCTTATAACAAAAATTGTATTCAATCTACAGTTAAATTTGATGGGGGAACAGTAGTGTTTTGGAGGTGTTTTGGTTGGCATGGTCCATGGGATGGTCCCTACAGGTCCCGCTTCACATAGTAACATTGTTGCCAATTTAAACGTACGCGAGCTATTAGCTTGTGCTAACAAGACTTATATTAATGTTCTAGCTAATATCATTTGAATACCATGTGTGAGGAATTATCCTGATTCAAGCTTTCAGCAAGACAGGCCCCATGTCATACTTCTTCATGAGCACTTGGTGTGGATGTCAACTCATGCAACAAATTGAGATTCATTAAAGTATTATATTTTACATCTCTAATGCTAAACATTGTTTTAATTCCTGAGCCCAGAAATGAGCACGGTTAATGTCTTGAATTTCTCAAAAATTATCACGCAAAGAATATCCGTCCGGTTTTATTTAAACTACAATTCTTCTTAGAATAAGATGCCAATATTGTCGAATAGCTCTAGGGATGTCAATAATCACGACTTTATGCACGTGGTGGCAGGTATTTCTCATTATGAGCAATGTTGACTGATTATTATTATTCTCTTTCGAAGCCTAAATGGCGTCATTCCATATCTGGGTATTCGACAGCATGACTGATATTAAGCAGGTTGTGGGAATCGACGTTGAATCGTTTCAGTTTCTCTTTACTGTTCAAGGCCGTATCGGTCAATGTCTTTGCTCATATTCCCTCTTTATTGCAAACATATACAGAACCTGTTTATTATGAAAATGAACATGATAATTGCTAAATTCAGTTTACACTAAAATAGTCAACAGCTTAATTCGAATGACCACGACAATTCGCCAGCATTGGAATAAAAAAGTGCTTACGTTAATCTTCCTTTAATCTAGGCTGTCCACATAGTCAATTCAACATCGACATTCGATAGGCAGGTACATGTACTGTACAACAATGAAGCGATAAAACATTAGAACTTTAAAACCGTTGTTCAACAATGTTTCCTCGACTGTTAACATACGTGCGCTATCATATATCCAATCCTCCAGTACGAAACTTTTTTATATTTTTCATTGTCCTTCTTTTAGCCTTTCTCGTACAACTTACTGTAAATCCTGGTCGAGCGCTAAATATACGTATAGCCCTATCAAGTCTGTTTTTTTCTGGAAAATATTTTCATAACGATTCGACTGTTTTTGCTGAGCTAACCAACCCAATGTCAACAAAGCGCTGGAAAACACCAATCGATGAATTAAAGAATAGACCGTTTCCTAAGACGGCGGGCTGTCTGATAATTGGGGATGAGATTTTAAACGGCAAGACGCTTGATACGAACTCGAATTTCTTTGGTTAGTGAGCGAAACCCACAGCAGTGGGGGTGAGAAGTTGAAGGGAAAAGTGAAATCTTGGGATTATAGTTATGATTACTTGGTTACTCATAGTCACATTGAAGTCTATGTAAAAACATGTTTGAATGATTCATTTACATTCTTGATATCAGCCAAGTTCTGTTTTAATCTTGGGATTGATTTGAAGCGGATCGAGGTCATTCCGGATGATGAAGAGGTGAAGACCGATATACTGTAGTAGGAATATTTTGACACGATTATTAATCTCAAGTCTGATTTGTTAGACTATTGTCGAAGCAGCAAAACGCTTAAGCAGTTCTTACGACATGGTAGTTACGAGCGGTGGAATAGGTAAATACTGACTTTTTGCTGCCTTTACGCCTGTCGCTTTGCTGTTGAATCAATATTCATACCTATTCACCCCATACAGGTTCAACTCACGATGACATTACCTATCCATCTCTCGCTCGCGCATTTAATCTCTCTTTAGTCCATCACCAGCCAACGTTGGACCGAATGGTAATATTTAAATCCGAACCAAATGAAGAGGCTGTTATCGCCCGCAAACGCATGGCGCTCTTTCCAACGCCCTCAATCGTTGTCTACCCTCTGGAAGAATACTGGGTTCCCATTGTTATTGTCAATGAAAACGTTCACATACTTCCTGGTCTCCCTAGTTTGTTCCAGAGTCTCTTATCAGAATATGCTAAATATTTGAATAGTGTAGAGGATAATGGCTTTGTGAGAACTTTTGTGAAAGCCACCCAGCAAGAATCTTTTATTGCTCCTGTTCTTAGCAGAGTTCAGGAGGACGTGAAGGGGATGGATGTAAAGGTGGGTAGTTATCCAAAATGGAAGGGCAGTAGGCGGTGGGTTATCGTTAGTTTTCTGACAAGAAGAAAGCAAAAAGAGCTTGTCGAAAGATTGGCAAAAGAAGTTGCGAAGGAGATTAATGGAGTTGTTGTTGATAGTTCGGATGATTGAAAACTGGAGGAGACGTATAAAATGGAACAATATCGTCATAGATAAGTTATTGGATCAGTCGGTTATCACTTTATGTACAGTCTGAGGTGTTTCACAATTGAAATAGAACAACATTATTATGTCTCAAGAGCCATTAACTTACAGATTTTCATTATGATATAGTGAAGTTCGTTATACAATTAACTAATGATCTCAATCTTTCAATTTACCATCAATAGTTTCCACATTGTTGTGTCTCCTTTCAGTTTCTTTCAATAAAGACTGTAAGAGCAATTTCCCTTGTCTTGTTATATTGTTTTTTTTTCTATTATAAGTTTGCTCTCTATCAGTGTCGTGTCGCCGTCAAATAAGACTGGAAAAAACCATTCTCACACGAAACGTCCATGTTACAAAACCCACGAACAACACTTACAATTGCTCATAAAGAGAACTGGAGAGTGAGAAAGGTATTATCGGTAGAGCTAGTAATAACATTCACTAGATCTTATATATGTTTATTTGGGGTCCGCATTATTTCATCGACAATTATTTCACCGATAGTACATTCACCGACAATTAACTACCAAAAAAGGATAACTTCGAAATAATGTTGGTGAATATTTGTTGGTGAAAGATTGCCTCCCGTTTATTTGATATTCATATTGACGAAAATCACTACATTACTTTCGGAATAACGACATATATAATTAGCTGCAATTATACTAGTCTCGCAATGGTAAAAACTATTCGCTTGTATCACCCAAAGTGTTAAGTACCTAACCAAATTCTGACGCGAGCAAGGGTCCTTTTCTAATTTGATTTATTTGCGGTAAATATTTGGACTAAATTCTATGTGATATAATTAAAAGTTGGTCTGATATAATAATAATGCTTTTTCTGGAGCTAAGCCAGTTATAATAAATTGAGCTCGCTATAATAATAATTATCAATCTTGCGTTTAGGGAAGCGCGTGAAGAACGTAAATCATACCACACAGTAAAAGTCCGCTTTAACGAAGTGCTCCGTTCCATCGCCTGACTTCGTTAAAGCAGACTATTCGTTAAAGCGGACTCTATTTTATATAAGAACGACCCCCACTTTTCGGGAGATGTTTTTACGATATATAACTATAAATAGTCCAAATAGAGATCAAAATCGCCCATAAAGTGTCAAACAGCCGTTAAGCGTTACACGCGAATTGTTTCAATCTTATATTAATGTTGATTTATTAAAATAATCGATACAAAGATTTGTTTGCTATAACGTACGTGAATAAATTAGTTTAGGTATATCTATACTATTTTTGAGAATAGCGTAGATTGATACAAAAGCCTTCATAAACGCATAGTAGTATCAATAGAAAGAAAATAGTAAGGGTATAAAAATATTTCCGCATAAATGTTTTTACGATAAATTTTATCCTAAGAAAAAAAAAATACAATATCTATTTTATCTTACTGCGCGTAAAAATGGACATTTATCAAAGTGAAGTAAAAACCATATCCGCTTAAAAAATTTAAATTGATTAACAGCTTTACCAAGGAATGCAAAAAAGAACGAGTAATTGACACTAATTTCAACAACAATCTACCGTTTATCTTGTAAATAATGCCTATTTGGAATGGATTCCATTTGATTGGGGATACGGATGTGTATACTTGGATGGTCTACCTACTTATGCAACTGCTAAATTGACTCCACTTGAGATAACAGACGAGACACATGATTTATATTATGCCGAGGTAAACTATTTACTTATGCGTCATGTTTATT